CAATGGGAGCATTTACTATTAGGCGAGGGGGGGGGGGGTTGGTAATGTTAGGGGGAGGGGACTCTGGGCATGCTTTCTGGGGCAGCCCTGCCATCATTCCCTGGAAAGGTACCTGGTGTTTGCTCAATGGTGGGATTTTGCCCTATATTACCCCTATATAATGATAGTTTCCATTTTCTTTTCCAATATCCTAAGGGGAGCGAAGTGTTCGTGTCTGGATGAAGGCGCCCCAAGAGCCCTCCCCTCAACCCTCAGGTCATCCCTCAACTCCTGCAGCCAGAAGCCCACCAACCTTACTACTCCCTAAGGGTCCAAGGACCCAAATAATAGGGTTTTAGCGCCCAAATACCATTAATATTGATGGTATTTGGGCCCCAAAGCCCTACTATTTGGGTCCTTGGACCCTTAGGGACTGGGAATGCAAGAATATGCTATCGTGATTCTTACTGGGCAAAATCTATAAGTGGGGGAATGGTTCCCCCCGATCCCAACTATATGCCATATCCAACGTGGAGCCGTCAACAAACCAGATCCGATCTTGTTTTCAGGACAGCTATGAAGGAGGCCGCCAAGGTGCGATGTAGACCGGGAATTGCTGGGAGCCAATCAGTTCCGCGACTGAGGAAGCGACAGAGGCCTCTAGGCTTTTCTCAAACCCTAGGGATCCCAAATAGCCCAGCGCACAGGGTTTAGGTTAGGGTGTAGGGATTTAGGGTTCAGGGTTTAGGTATTATTTGTATACATGGATCCCTAGGGAAAGGATGGAGATTTGCGGGCTTTAGTGCTTAGGGGTTTGGGGCTTTAGGATGGGGAAGCTTGATCTGAGACGATTTCACTTCAACTGCAAGCTTTACACCACAAGCCTACTGCAGATTACTCCCTTTGACCAACCCTCAAACCTTAAACCCTAAGTTCCCTGAATCCTTAACGCCCTATTTCTACGCAAACAATTCGGAGCTACTATTCCAACTGCAGTTTGTGCAACTTTTTATTACATACCCTCGCGCTCAAGGTCGTGCTTTGTGAAACCCTGAGACCATGTTAAATGTTCTTTCAAAATGTGGAGCTAAATGGGCAGGTGGATATATTATGTCCGTTCGTCGTTGGAATAAGCAGCTCAACAAGCGAATCCTGGGACTTAAGATGCAGAATCTTAAGCCCCTGCGAAACTCTACATAACCCCAAATATGGTAGTTTCCATTTTCTTGTCCATTATCCCTATATAAGCCCATATTACCCTAATTTTATCCCAACATTACCTGCCCCAAGCCCTAAACCCTCATCCCAAACTTTCCCAAACCTGCATCCCTGGGCTTGAGATGCAGAACCTTCAGCCCAACACCCGAATCCTAAACTTTCATAGGAGCCATAGTCTAAACTCCTAGTATCCCCCTTAAGAACCCCTATAGTAGTTCCCTATATAATCCCCTATATAACCCCTCCTATAAGGAGTTTAGACTATAACCCTAAACCCTAAGCCCTAAGCCCTAAACCCTGAACCCTAAGCCCTAAACCCCCTATAACCCCACCAAGAAGGAGTTTAGATTATGGCGCATATAAGCCCCAAAACCGAAACCAACCCCCGGCTTCGCCATAGGCAAAGCGCATCGGTTTTGGAGTTCACGAACAAAATTCTGGAGCTTGGGGGCCAAATTTTGAGCTTGGGGAGCCAACTTTGGGGTGTTTGGAGCTTAGGAGCCAGAGTTGGCTTGTCGGAGCTACTTTTTAGCCTTTGGAACACATTCCGGAAAGTGGAAACCCATTTCAGATTTTCTTGCCTTCGGTGAGTTTTTGAGCTGTTGGAGCCAGGCTTGGACTTTTGAAGGCATCGAAGCAAGCAGTGGGCGGGCAAGGCGACCACCCATGATGACAAGAAAAGCCTTTTAGTCGAAAGATTCTGAGGCGCTACCACTACTGATGTCTGTGATGGCCGGTTCCAGTTCCAGCTTCTGTTGCAATTTTGGCTCAGCTCCTCTGCGGTTCGCGCTTCACACAGTGCCCTGCACTGGCTTCCACGGGCTTCTGCGGCTCGCCTCCGCTCTTCGAGAACGTCGCCCGGTACTGAGTAAAGGACCCTGAATCCTGAACCCTAATGCTTAAACACGTACCCCAAACCATAAACCCCCACATCCCAAACCCCAAGCCCTAAATCTCAAACCCTGTACCCCAACATCCCAAATCCTAACATCCCAGACCCTAAATCCAAATCCTTATAAACCCCCAAACCAAGCTCTCGCCTCGCTGTAGGTAAAGTGCAGCGGCACAGGCCGGTCTTCCGAGGACACCACGCGGACGGGCCGCTGGGAGCGGCTTTGCCTGAGGAAGGGGGAAGAATGGGGTTTAGGGTTGGGGGTTTGGGGTTTAGGGTTGGGGGTTTGGCTTTAGGGTTGGGGGTTTAGGGTTTAGGGTTGGGGGTCTAGGGTTGGGGGTTTAGGGTTTAGGGTTTAGTGTGGGGGCCGGAACCCTCCAAAATCGGTAACATAAAATAAAGACATGTTTTGACAATTTGAAAGCGCATTGGGCCATTATTTTGCCGACTTTGACAAACCTCAAACTGAAAACCCTCAACCCTAAACCGCGATATAGGGTGTAGGGTTTAGGGAAATGAAAGTATATCCATATGGGGATGATATACCTTGGTAAGCCCAATACTGACAGTAGCTCATGAACTTTGTCAGGTTTCAGTAGGGTTCAGGAGTTTGGGCGTCTTCCATTTGTTGGGGGTGTTTCGGGCTGAAGGTTTCGTCTGCAGGCATGGGGGGGTTCAGGATCTTAGGGCTATATAAGGAGGTGGGATTTGAGTAGTGTTTTTTTGGTGGTTAAACCCAGTAAGATTATGTTCCTTATATAAAATACTATACCCCAAAAGGAGGATAGAATCTTACTCTATAATGGGTACCATAGTATCTCCAAATAAGATACT